GCGTTTGGGAAAAAACTAGGGCGATGGTGATGCTGCCATATCCCTGATTTCTCTGCATTTGCACTCACTTCTTTTTTGCATCTTGCACATAGGACGTCTTCATCCTTTTTGGGCTCCTTTCCTTTGATACGTTCAAAGACACTGGGATGTGGTCCAGGGTCTTCTTCTCCATCATCTATAACCAACTTGAATTTTGGCAACTTGTTTTTGAAACCAGACATCACCATGTTCACTCTAAGTGGCTGTGAAAAAGGATTTTTATCCACTGTCATCTTCCTCTTATCCTCGAACGTAATTCGTCATTTTTGAATGGCATTCTGTAACACATGACGAAAAACCAAACAGTTGTTAGTCAAATGTGACCATGCATTATGCCACTTACAATTTTTTTACCCTTAATTTGTTCAGGGTTTGGCAATTTATGTTTATCGCTCAACTTTATCTGCTTATCCTTATACAATATATCAAATATAAGGTCAGCTTTGGTTACATCGAACGAGAACGTCCTAGTCTTTATGTTTTCATCTTTTATAGGCTCATCCTTACCCAACGGTCTAGGCTTAGCCATTATAGGACAAGTATACGTGTCTCCTTTAACTAATTCAGCTAATCACATTTCGGTTTGATCGTAATACTCGTCATTAATGGTATGAACATCAAAATTTGGGTCTCTATAATAAGTCCCCTTGCTAGAATTTTTCATTTGTTCTTTTTCTCTTATTAATCGTTCACACCTAATCACGTTCATACTCAATTGGAAAAGATCAGAAAATTCCTTGTCTTGAAACTTCTTCTTCAAATCAAAGCTTAGACAACCTTGAGCGATTTTGACAAACTCCTTTTCGGACAAATGTATAAAACATTTACTTCTTACTGTTTTGAACCTTTGAAGGAAACCTTCTGCCCATTCGTTTGGCATTTGACGTAGATTTTCCAAATCGGCCAAAGTAATTTCAGACTCAGTCTTATAAAACGGAGCGTAGAACAATTACTCCAATTGTTGTCATGTTTGAACAGAGTTTGCTGGCAAATTGATGAACCAAGAGAAGGCTATTCCTATTAATGAACTAGGGAACAGTCTCATTTTATGGTAATCAGTTACGTCACCACATTGCAGTGTGAATTGCCCTATGTATTCTAGAGTAGACATCTCTCCTAAACCGGTAAACAATGAGAATTCTGGTACTTTGTACCCTCTAGGCCATGGATATGCTTGGTCTACCCAATCAGGATATGGCTTTGTGTAAGTCGGCCTAATGACAGGACGTACTCCAAAAGCCATCTGGTCCGTACGATTTCCATAATCTGATTCTTCCACATGACGTTGGGGTCATATGGAATTTCTACAGGTTGGTTGACCGGTTGATTTGCTTGAGGCCTGATGTTTGGTCCTTGATTGGCAACAAAGTTACCATGATTTGGACCATTGTTACCATTAGCCTAAACATTTATTCCATCATTAACACGTGGGGTATTCTGCCCATTATTTAGGACATTATCTCTTACATTTAGGTTACCTCCCAAGTTAGATGTACCAATGCTATTATTCTGATTTGGTATTACACTACCCCCCTGGTTTGAAGTAGAGGGATCAAAAGGTAGTTCTATCCCTTGATTTGAACTTAGGACTGGGGGATTATGTCCCACAATTGTCCTAGTTTGAAAGTGGTTTGCAAGAGGCACAACTGGCTGACAAATTTGGCCTACTAACTTATTCATTATTTCGTTCAAAGTATTCAGTTGTTTGGTCATGTTGTCATAATGTGCATTCCCATTCTGGGTAAATCTTTCCATAGTATGAATATTTCGTAGATTTACCTGTTCAACGACATCTTGTGTGAGTTCTCCGAGTAATGCACGCATGGTTCGAGGACTCAACTCTGTCATTAGTTCGTAACGACTGTGATTGCTCTGATCCTGTCAATCTGTTCGTGGAGAGCTATGCTGCTCCTCATATCGCTCAATTACAGACTGGACTCCTCCCTGGCTTGCTGCTTCCTTATCGGATTTCTGAGACATATTGTTTCACCTTTTGTATCTTCAACACCAAACACCAATGTCCCACCGGGCATGTCAAATTGTTTTGCGCGAGTTGTCGTTAACAATTAAAAAGGGATCAGACGATTGTGTAAAGAACAAACCCCTGAAACAAAGTCCTAAAAAGAGGTGTTTTATTGGCGATGACTTTACAATTGGAACTTAAACAGAATGCCTTCAAGGAGCACAAGCACACGAGTATTGAAAAGAAATGTTTTAAGTCTAAACTAAGGAATTGAAATTACATATTCTCTATTTGAGAGTGTTTAATTCGGGGTCCTTTGCTCTATGTCTTTTCTTCCTTTTATATTCATTTGATGATCTTTTCGTGATCAACCGCTTAATTGTTTTATAACTGCCCACTTTCTTCATGGTGGCCAATTTATCGTGGAACTGCCGTCTCTAACTGCTGCAACTACTCTTTGTCGTTCAACCGTCTTCAACTGAACATCCTTGAATCGTGGAATGTGATAAGATTACTTAATAACTGCTTCGATTACTGTACTTTTGGATAACCATAATATCTTCTATTTGCTCAGATTTTGGGCGTCTTGCAAGTTTGGGCGATGGTGTTACCGCGTTCGTGGGCTTCCACTGCATTCATTGATAACCCTATTCGAGCCTTTATCCTGAATAACCCAGTTGGGTTTCATTTTTTGGGCTATTCGATTTGGACTGCACTTTTAGCATGTCAACAGGATTTCAGTATCATTCATACCCACATCTAAGGTTTATATGCATTAAAATTTACAAGATAAAGATTCTTAATAGACCATCTTATTAAAATAGCATTCACAAGTTAGCAAAATCAATAACGTGCCTAAAGAATTCAGGAAATATAGAAACAAACAAATCCCAGCGAAGGATGCCTAGCCAGGTCCTAGATTCCATCCCGCATTGCTCGCACACAGCATGCTTGACAGTTGATAAAATCCCCACAAAAAATTGCACAAAAAAAAAAAGAAAAAAAAAAGTGAACTTGTATTGTGAATGTACCTGAATGAAGTTGAGAATGAGGCCAGAGAGAAGGAAGATTGTGGAGAGGTAGACAGAGAGAATGTGTTGGCTATATTAACCGTTTTTGATGAATCTGTACGAACAAATGAAATGATTTGATTAGAACTCTAACTGACAATGCTAAGGTGCGCGTCATTGCTTTTTTGTTTTTTATTTGTTTTATTTTCTCCCTCGTCTTTATTTTTATTTTCACGATGATAATTCTTGAGCTCATACTGGATAAAGATACATCGTAGTATAGCGAAGGTTAAATTATAGCCAATAGAAAATACTACAAGTTTACAAGAAAGAAAATCGTGATTAACAACGTACGAAAACTCTTACATAAACACTTAGAACTGTTTAAGAAATGTTCAACTACATAACTATTTGAGAAATGTTCGACTTCACGTAAGTGCACATCAATGTGTTTGTCTTTTCAAGTATTTCTAAATTGCAAAAACGAGTATTTCATATTTTCAATTACAAAAGGTTGGAAGCGTGAACATTAAGAATTCTAATACTTATGTAAACGAGATTCATCTAAGATTGCATATATTATAGTTTTCTTTATCTCGAAATTAATAACTTGCAAGATTTTTCTATTCAAGTTGTTATTAATTGGGTAAACAATTTCTCTTGTTCTAATGAGAGAAATCATAGATGTACAAGAAATATCGAATTAAAAAAGACTAGACATAATTAAGGAATGTTATCATGCAAAATATTAATGTGTTATTTTTCTATTTATATTCAATCAATATTACCAAGCATGCTCCAACGGAATATAATTTTTGACTCGTATTACTCTATCCTTGTTGGCCTAGCTCAAGCCGTTGAGTTTAGTTTGATTCTATGATATATTGGTCTATTATTTTTCGACATAAAAAGCATGCTCAAATTGAAGTGTAAATTGAGTTACCCGACCCTTGTTGGCCGACAAGCCTATTTAGCCCTTGTTTGGACCTCATTTTTGAGTCAAAATGCATTTTTGGAATGGTATTTTGTAAGAGAATGTGTGGTTAAAAATCAAGAAATTTTTTTAATTTGCATGTAAAATTATTTTATGGAAAAATGTGTTGTTGAGAATAAATTTTGAAAATACTTGGGCCAAATATAGGCTTATTTAGACATAGACTATGTCAAGTCCGCAAAACTTTGGTTTAACGTACGATCCACTTTAAACCATTCCAAATCAACCAAAATCATTTTACACAGCTTTGGTCTAATGTACGAAGTCCGAATGTTTCTAATTTTTCTACTGAAAAATGGTATGTAGCACAATTAACATTTAACATCAATTGAAGCACTGAACCTTAATAATATGGCACCTAAAGTTGAAGTAATACTATTTTATTACCATCCGCGATAATTTGACAGTGAGATTTACTACCGCATTGTTGGAGTTTGAGTAGGTCGATTTATGCTGTTTTTGATATATTTTCAAATCAAATGTTTTTTAAGCGATTTGAGAAAAATTCGAACATAATCCAAATCATTTAAAAGTGTGGTTTCTTCATGTATTTTTTCCTATTACACTTTAACGTCACGACATATCTTTCTATTTTATTGACAATTAAATAAAACAAACTACATGTATCAAATTATGAATCTACATGGCAACAACCGACAATAACTTGGTGGTTTTGCAGCGCTTTTTGTCAACGTTTACCAAGTAAAGAGGGTTTGGTATCGGAAGTATGAACTATGAATGATGATGAATTGATTGATTTATCAAATTAGGATAATTTGTAAGCATTAGTTAACCAATTTTTTAGCAGAATTTTAAAAATATATATGTATTTTTTTTTACTTTCATTTTATTTTTAGAATTTTAAACCGTCTTGTTTGGGAGCCCCTGTTGGTGGCCTTAAAATTTAGATTACATAGTTTTTGAATAGTTAAGAAGTAAAATGAATTTTGAATTTCATGGAAATTATTTTATTGTTTAAAAGTAAAATAGCTTGGCTAAACTTTAGGGTTTATTCCTTGTCGTCTCCTTCACTAATCTACTCCATGGCAAAATTGGCTAAGAATTGATTAAAAAGAGAACCCTTTTCATTTTCTCAGGATAAGGATTGAGGGGGTAAAAGTGCACAAACGCCGAAATTTGAAGCGGCAAAGTGCATAAACTACGCAGTTTATTACTTCAATTCACTTGTAATTGAACACCAACCAACGCGCAAACACCAGCAAAGATGAGTGCACAGCCGCCGCAAACGGCGCCGTACCATCAGCCCGCCACCCTCGAAGAAGTCCGCACCCTTTGGATTGGCGATTTGCCTTATTGGGCTGATGAGTCATACCTCCACAGCTGGTTCTCCCACACCGGCGAGGTAATTACTTATATAGACATGCAATTCCAGTAATATATGCTTTGGGAATTTATTTGTAATGTATGAAACTTTTGTAAAATGAGATAGGCGGATAAATTTGGAAATGGGGTTTTGAATAATATACGTATTTGTTGAAATCTTTGAGGTTTCTGTTCTTTGTTATTTTTTTCGAACTGCAGTGGAAATCATTAGAAAGTGACAGGTCGATGCTAGCTTGTAACTAAAGTGAAATTGTGAAAAAGTTGGAAATATAGTGCACTCCAAACATTTGATTTGGAAGACCTTCAACTTAATTCACAGAAACTACACATTCTGTAATAATTATCTGCCATGTTAAGTCAGTATGCAACAGCTCAAGGCAATTCAAAGATCCAATTATTTGATATGCTTGGTTGAAACTTCAAATTCCATAGCTATTGTTTCAGCACCCTGCCGATAAATGTACTAATCTTTTCATTTCCTGGCCAAATTTTCTTCTTGTTATTTTCTGAAATGTTCTACCTGCTAATCTTTGTGTTTAGAGGTTCATGAATTACATCACAAGTACTGTACCGCTGCCAAATTTTAATTTTTCTCTTGGTTTGATTTTTGTGAATTAAAATTTCTGAAGTTTGAGGAATGAAAAGATTATAGTTGTTAACTTTTGGTTGTGTAGCTGTTTGTGGGTTAGAATTGAATGATTTAAATGGTCACTATGTCTAATACAGGTAATTTCTATTAAAGTAATTCGGAATAAAATCACAGGCCAACCAGAGGGTTATGGATTCGTGGAGTTTACTTCTCACCAAGTAGCTGAAAGGGTTCTACAGTCCTACAATGGAACACAAATTCCTGGGACTGAGCTGACTTTTCGGTTGAATTGGGCATCATTTGGGATAGGAGAAAAGCGTATTGATACTGGACCAGAGCATTCTATTTTTGTAGGGGATCTAGCACCTGACGTCACAGATTATTTGTTGCAAGAGACTTTTCGAACCCAGTATTCCTCAGTAAGGGGGGCCAAGGTAGTGACTGATCCAAATACGGGCCGCTCCAAGGGATATGGGTTTGTTAAGTTTGCTGATGAAAATGAAAGGAACCGAGCTATGACTGAGATGAATGGTGTATATTGCTCGACTAGGCCCATGCGCATTAGTGCAGCGACTCCTAAGAAAACAGCAACTGGTGTTCAACAGCAGTATGCTGCACCTAAAAGGGAGGAATTTTTTTTTTTTTTTTTTTTTTTTTTTTTTTTTTTTTTTTTTATGTACATTCATTACTCTCTAGCAGGTCACGAAGTCTGAGAATACTACATATCCTTCTGAGATTTTTTTTTTCTCTTTTCTAATTTGGAGGTGAAATGGGCATACGTATTGCTAAAACAACATTAGGGCCGTCTCCAAATCCTTGTTTCTCAATGGCTGCCGATGTTTGCTCATTTTATGGTTTGCAAAATGGAAGGTGCATCTAGACCATGACACAATCCTTAGAGGAAGATGCTTTATAATGCCCTTCAAATGTGGCACTGGTCATACCTGGTGTACTCATAATATACCTTTATTGAGCCACCAAAACAATGTCTGAAGTTTACATTTAATTTAAAATTTAATTTACTCTAATTCAAAATCATAGTGACTTCTCATTAGAAATTTAGCAGCCATTTCATAATTTCCTTGTTTAGTTCATTTTATTTTCATGTTTAGATCACTTTATTTTCTTGTTTTAGCAGCAGTATATCCAGCTCCAGTTTATACTCCACCGATTCAGACAGTTCCAGTGGATAACGATATAAATAACACTACCGTAAGTTAGACACTGATATATGTAGTTCCTTATATGTCTTCCTGCCTGATTTCCTTGCTTGATTGCAGGTCTTTATCGCTAATCTGGACCCAAATGTCACAGAAGAAGAACTGAAACAGATATTTTTTCAATTCGGGGAGATAATTTCTATCAAAATTCCAGCTACCAAGGGTTGTGGCTTTGTGCAGTTTGCCACCAGGTATATTTTGGTGTATAAAACACTTATTTCAATTGCTGAATGATCTAAACAAATGAAAAGTATCTATATGTACTTGCAATCATCTCTAGAGGGCAAAAACCCTTTCTGGTCCTTAATGCAAACTTTTTTAATTGAATGCTATCCCTTGAAAAGAACAATTATTGTTTTTGTTTTGAATTTTTGCTAGGTCTAAGTTCTATCAGTAGTTTTCTCTCAATTTCCTCGTAGCCCGATTACAGTCACCGGATGGAGCTCCCCCCACAATCCAAACTAACCCAGCCACCACACCACCACCCAATCCAGCCAACACCCATACCTACCGGCGCCGGCGACCAACTGTCCGGTAGGCACCATATAACCGGCCTCACGCCACAAATCAGCCCCTCCAACCACGCCCTTCACACACAGGCGCAGCCCACTGTTGGAAACCCTAGCACCGCCCAGCAGATTCAGCCAGATCCGGCCACGTTTCGAGGGAACGCGCCTCACCGGCGGCCTCAGTAGAGATCGGCGACCCCGGCCGGTGTTTTGCCCCCCACACGCGCTGCCGCCGAAAAACCTGTAGTGGGAGCCTGCTGCTCCGAGATTAATCGGCTTGTCCATTCCTCCGTTTGATGAACAGCTTGTACACAATCAAAGGAAAAAATTGGCGGATGTGCGTAGTATGGTATTCAATCATCGTTTCAAAGTGGAGGCGAAGGACTTCGCAGTATCTATTAACGATTCTGGCACTGTTAAGCTGACAGAATGGGGTTCGAAGTTATCGAATTCAATCTTTATGGAAAGGTATGGTGCTATTTGGATGGTGAATATGGTAGACAGATTGAGGATGAGAAGTGAATTTGAGGACGAGAAGTGAATTCGAGGACTGTGTTTTTAAATTCAACAAGTCTTCAAGAGTTTTCTTGGCACAACGGTGTGTGAACCGTCAAGGTAGATATATGATGATAGCACAATATTGGGAGAGGCGTCGGAAAGGAGTTGTCATGATACCAGAAGGTGCAAATGGAGAGGGATGGGCGTCGGTCTTGCAGGTGTTTCAAGCAGTTGTTGACTCATTTGTTGCTAGGGATAAGGCCAAATGACACACGGTGAATGAACGAAACAGACAAATGATGACTTATGCAGAAATTACAGCAAACTCACAGACCTCGGAGAATGCCAACCAACGGATGCTACAGCAAAAGGAAAGGACAAATAAAGTCGGTGATAACAAAGGTCACGACATTTGTTTGAGTAGGGTTGAAATAATGACCCGTGCCGAGGAGTTGAAAGGAACATTGGATGAATTACTTAGGCTGGTTGGAAGTGGGCCTGAAATGGACCCCATGAAATTGGTACGCTGTCACAAGTGTGGGGTTGAGTTGGATGAGGATCAAACCGGTGAAATACACGTATCGGGGTTGACTCAAGAGGAACTACCATCAATTACAGACATGAAAAATAGGGAAGAGATGGGCATTGTGATTCTCAGGAGAGGATGGAAGCAGGGTACCATAAAAACGATGACGGGGTTGACTTTGTGGGGGTTAGCCAGAATGAAGTAGACACGGGGATTGCAGTTGAACGAGAGGTGGAATCATTGTCTAAGGAAGGGGAGTTTAGTATGGTAAACTTGGAGAAATTGACAATGGACACTGTGAAAGAAAACAACGCTACACATTCGACATTAAGGATTACGAACATTTATAATAGGAGGACAAAATAAAATGATATGGGGACCAAAAAAGCTTTGGTGTTATGGGTAGATGGTGCCAAGAAAGGAGAAAGCGACAGTGACATTATACCAGTGGTGGAAGAGAAAGAACGGTCCTTTGATCATCTTGAGGGCTATCACGGTGAGGATACTTCAGAAGCTGATGTGTTAGAAGTTGGTCACCCACCTTCAAACTGGGTTCTACAAAAAATTCAGAAATTCAGTAAGTTGGTTGGCGTGTCATATGATGGGTATGAAAGTAGATTGTTACAATTATTCGAGGAGTTGGAGGCTAATAGGGGACAAGACATCAGTACACATGGAAGTAAATTAAGAAGAAAGGGTGATCGGGAACTTAAGAGGCTCGAATGGTCAGTAAACTATGTTGGTAAGGGTGGCGAGTCCAAGAAAGGAACAATGGGGAGGGGTTACGGAGTGTTATAATGATGCCAAAACTCATTAGTTGGAACGTAAGGGGGCTCAATGAGGTTAGTAAAAGGCTTGGTGTTCGACATTTGTTAAGGGGATGGGGGCAAATTTTGTTTGCCTACAAGAAACTAAGATGGAGTTTATGTCGAGGGCGGTGATTCGTAGTTTATGGGGGGGAAATCATGTAGGATATCAGTTTTTGGGGTCATCAGGGGTTTCAGGAGGCGTGTTAGTGATGTGAGACACTAGAGTGCTTGAGATGAAGGAGGTGAGTATAGGGGTGTTCTCTATATCGATTTCTTTCAAAAATTGCGAGGATGGATTTCAGTGGATGTTCACAGGAGTTTATGGGCCTAATTCTGATGATAGTAGAGTGGGCTTGTGGGATGAATTGGCTGGAATGAAGGCTTGGTGGAATCTCCCTACATGTATTGGGGGTGATTTCAATGTGATTCGATTTCCTTCGGAGAGGTCGAGTGGTGGGAGACTAACTAGGGCAATGGAGGAGAGCTCAGATTTTATTAGGGAGAATTTGTTGGTGGATTTACCCATGATTGGGGGAGATTTTACCTGGTCATCTAATCGGGATCGACTCGTTTTGTCTCGTATTGATAGGTTCTTGATTTGTGGGGAGTGGGAGTCTAAATATTCAGATGTCACTCAGAAAAGATTGGGGAGGGTGTACTCGGATCATTTTCCTATTATGTTATCGGGGAATAGGAAGGGTGGTGGAAGAAGACCTTTCAGGTTTGAGAAGATGTGGTTGAAAGTAGAAGGTTTTAGGGAGCGAGTACAAACGTGGTGGACTTCCTATGAAGTCAGTGGGTCTCCCTGTTTTGTATTGGATCAGAAGCTAAAGGCGTTGAAAGGGGACTTAAAGAAATGGAATGAGGAAGTTGTGGGCAATGTTAACTGTAGAAAAAATCAGTGTCTGTCAGAGATAGATGAGTTGGATAGGTGGGAGGAGAGTCAAGGGTTGGCTAGGGAGGAGAAGGAGAGACATAGAGTATTGAAGGAAGAGATGGAGAGGTTGGTGGAGATGGAGGAGATTACTTGGTGACAGAAATCTAGAGTTACTTGGTTGAAAGAGGGGGATAAATGCACTTAGTTCTTCCACAGGGTCGCCAATTCTAATAGGAGGAACAACTACGTCACAGTTTTGGAGGTGGACGGGGTTACTTATGAGGAACCACTGGAAATTGGAAGCCAACTGGTGAATTATATCAGAACCTCTATCAAAAAAAGCAATTTGAATGGAGGCCAGAATTGGAGGGATTGCACTTTTCTACAATCACTGGGGATGATGCCCGATGGATGGAGAGACCATTTGGGGAGGATGAAATTAAGGAGGTAGTGTTCAGCATGAATGATGATAAGGCTCCGGGACCGGACGGTTTCTCGTTCTCATTCTACAATGCGTGCTGGGATGTGGTTCATTCAGACATTGTGAATACTTTATCTTATTTTTTTGAACGTGGCAGATTCCAGAGAAGTTCTAACGCCACATTTATTGTGCTCATCCCTAAGAAATCGGGAGCGACTGATATTAAGGATTTTCGCCCCATTAGTCTTATCAGTGGGGTGTATAAGATTATTTCGAAAGTTCTAGCAAACAGATTAAAGGAGGTGCTGGGAAAAGTAGTGTCCAAGTTTCAGAATGTATTTGTAAAAGGGCGTAAGATTTTGGACTCTGTGCTTATAACGAATGAATGCATAGATTCGAGAATGCGTCTAAGGGCCCCAGGGATTGCTTTGTAAACTAGATATTCAGAAGGCTTACGATCATGTAAATTGGGGATTCTTGTTGTATATGCTTAGGCAGCGGCTTTGGGGATAAATGGTGTAAATGGATTCAATTCTGTATTTCTATTGTTTCATTCTCAGTTTTGGTCAACGGAACACCTAAGGGTTATTTCCGGAGCAGTAGAGGCTTGAGACAAGGGGATCCATTGTCTCCATTGTTATTTGTCATTGTGATGAAGGCTTTCAGTAGGATGATTAAAAGAGCCGTGAGAGCGGGTTTGATAAGGGGTTTTATGGTTGACCAATTGCAGGTGTCCCATTTGTTATTTGCAGATGACACGTTGATCTTATGCGATGCAGATGTTGAACAATTCAGGAACTTGCGTCGTCTGCTCCTATATTTTGAAGCCGTGTCTGGTTTGAAAATCAATTTGGGGAAGTCTGAGGCTATTCCAGTAGGGGAGGTCGATAATGTGGAGGAGCTGGCTGATATATTGGGTTGTAAGGTTGCGCGGCTGCCGATGTCTTATCTAGGGCTCCCGTTAGGGGCACGATTTAAAAGTATCCATATCTGGAACGATATTGTGGAAATGATGGAGAGAAGGTTAGCAGGGTGGAAGCGTATGTACCTTTCTAAAGGAGGTAGACTTGCTCTCATTAAGTCCACTCTCTCCAATCTCCCAACTTGCTTTTTGTCATTGTTCCCCATTCCGATTGCAGTGGCAAAGAGATTAGAGAGACTTCAAAGAGAATTTCTGTGGGCAGGGTTGAGGGAGGAGAGAAGACTCTATTTGATCAATTGGGGAGCTGTTTGTTTGCCGATGAGGATGGGGGATCTAGGGGTGAGGAGCCTTATGTTGTTCAATAAGGCCTTATTACGCAAGTGGTTGTGGCGATTTGGAGTGAAGAGGGAAAGCTTCTGGAGAGAAATAAATGGGGCGAAATATGGTGTGACGGAGGAGGGATGGTGTACATTTGAGGATCGTGGTTCTTATGGGATGAGTTTGTGGAGGTATATCCGACGGGGATGGAGTGCTTTTTTGGACAAACTGAAGTTTGTGGTCGAAAATGGTAATGAGATTAGATTTTGGGATGGTTGTTGGTGTGGAGATCAACCGCTGAAGGAGATTCCCTTCCTTGCATCGCATTGCCTCAGTGCCCACTGCTATGGTGAGTGATCTCTTAGATATTCATAATGGGAGTTATAGCTTGAATATTATTTTTTTTTGGGTCTTAGACATTCATAATGGGAGCTATAGCTGGAATATTACTTTTGGGAGGGATCTACAGAATTGGGAATTGGAAGATTATTCGTTGCTTATGATCTTTTTACATGAGGCACAAATTCGAGTTGGAGAGAGGGATTGCATCAGGTGGAGGACAGCACAGGATGACATTTTTTCAGTTCGCTCGTACTTTGGTACCTTTATGGGATGTATGAATAATTCATTCCCCTGGAAGTTGGTGTGGCAATGTAAATTGCCTTTTCGGGTGACATTCTTATTGTGGACAGTTGTGAGGGGACAGGTCTCAACGGTTGATAATATTCGACATAAACGCTTTTACGCAACCGAGTGGTGTTATATGTGCAAGAAGGATGGGGAGACAATCGATCATTTGTTCATTCATTGTGATGGTGTACGTTGGATTTGGAACAGTATACTTAGTTCTCAATCTATGGATTGAGTGATGCCCCGTCGCATAGAGGACGTGATACGGGCATGGCGGAGAAAATTTCGTGATAAGGATAGCAAACTAGCCTGGCACCTTATCCCGGGCTGCATTGTATGGTGCGTGTGGAGAGAAAGGAAGAGCCGTTGTTTCGAAGACCAAACAAAGACAAGATAGCAAATAAGAAAAATATTTTACTTTACCTTGTATTCTTGATTTAATGTTGTAGCTAGAAATCATGTAGATGGGTTGCCTAATTTCACGCTGTTCCTTAATGGCTTAAAGTAATTGTACACCTCCCGTGTATTCTTTTTTAAGTAATAAAATTATCTGATTACCTATCAAAAAAAAAAATAAAAAAAATCATCTCTAACATTTCATTTCATCAATTGGTAATCAATTTGCTGCTGATGCTCATCTTCCTAGGACGTCTGCAGAAGAATCAATCCAGAGGATGCAAGGTACTGTGATTGGTCAACAAGTAGTTCACCTTTCTTGGGGAAGGAATCCAGCAGCAAAACAGGTCAATTTCTCACTGATATTATTAAGTCAAGTAATTCCTCACCATGTTTGGCAGAGCTAATAATATTTACTTTTAATTGAATTAAGCAAATTTAAATTTTTTTGATAAGTCAAGAGTTAGAAAAATGTTTTTTTTAATAACAAACTTCCCCAAACTTATTTGGAAACAAAAAGTTGCTAGCACTTGCTTTTAATTTTAGCTGTTTATTTTAAGTAGGAGGTTGATAGCAACTGTTTTCTTTTCCTTTCTTGTTGATATAATGCTATTTTTAAAAGTATAACACAGAAAACCCAATTTGGCTCACAAAATCAACAGATTTTTATATCAGATCATGAAAACACAATTTTTTGCTAGTTTTGATTTCCTTGAATTGAAATTGGCATGTTTTTTGTTGAAAAATTATTACCTTATGATGCAGGATGTATCTGGCATCTGGGGTCAGTCAGCAGATCCAACGAGTCAGTGGAGTGCTTATTATGCTTATGGACAAGGATATGATGCCTATGCATATGGAGCTAATCAGGATCCTTCAGCATATGCATATGGTGCATATGCTGGTTACTTACAGTACCCTCAGCAGGTAAGATTATCTTCACTCTCATTTTAGTTGTTATCCTCTCTTATCTTCAACTTATGGTACACATTTGTGTTTATAATTAAATAGATGGCTGCCATTTGAAGTAGAGTAATAGAGCAGTCCAGTATTATTGTAAATTTTAACGTGGAGTATTATCTTTGATGAAGCAGCAAAACTGTGACTAGTAACTTCAACTAATACGATATTGGGGCCTGTATATCTTTCTTTAAACCTTTTATAGTGGTAACTTTAGAAGTCTTCTCTAGCACTAGGATGCTTATTATTGGAAGAGTAAAGTACCGGATCAACGCTATTTTCCTCACAATTTAGCCGTTATTTTGGAAATGTTTATCCATTATTTCCATTTCAATGCTAGAAGTATTAAAAGACTTGAAGTGTTTATCCATTAAAACTAGGTAAGTGCAGTAAGCTATTGGGTTTTTTATCCACGTTTCTTCTATTTTCGTTCTTTTATAGGCTGAAGGTGCTCAGGACATGGCAGCTATGTCGGGTGTTGCTCCAGTTATGGAAAATAGAGAGGAAATCTATGATCCTATGGCTATGCCAGACGTCGACAAGTAAGCCTCTTACACGTGATTTTAAGTAGAACATGTCTGGCTTAGCTTAATAAGTTTAATTTGTAAGAAAAGAAGTAAATTTCTTCTTTATTTTTGGACCAAAATTCAGAAGAAAAAAGTCACTTCCAAATAAATTAATTTATTTACTTAGTAGTAAGAAAAAGGTATCTTATCCAGATATGTTTTAAGTAGCTTCCGTCGGCCAAACATGATAATTGTGCTTAATATAGGAGTAACGTATAATGGTTTTGGAAGATCCTTTTGCTGAAAACAATCACACCATCAACTCTCAGGTTGAATGCTGCCTATCTTGCTGTTCATGGAAGGGCTATTTTGGGACGGCCTTTGTGGCAGAGAACCTCATCGCTGTCGTAGGAAATTTTATCTGGTAGTCAAAAGGCAATGCATCTGCTTTTTGAGTCTGTTGTGACCTGCCAGTTGTAAGCAAGAAAACTATAGTACCTAGTATAAATCTTGATTTGGCATTATGTATACCTGTTCTGCTACCTTCAGATGTCACCCTTTGCTTTTTGCCATTTATGTTTCGAAATATTTTCCTAAATTCATTGGGGGCATCGAAGTCATCAATATTATTATTAGTATTTCTTCTGGATACTAAGCCCGTGTTTGGTGGGGTTTAAAATCAAATTTTTAATAAATTTTGATAAAAGTTGATGAAATGTGTGGTTGAAAAGTTGTGAGTCATATGAAATGAATGGTTAAAATTAATTGTTGACTTTGACTTAGATTAAAATCAATACCAAACAAGGATTGAATATTGCCATCCTATTTGCATCTTCGGTTTGTGCTAGTGCATATGAATTCCGAGCTCCTGCCACCCCGGTTGTTGGTCATTTAAGTCGAAATTCTATTTCAACCAACAAATTTTTTATGTGGGGCCTACATAAATGGTCTGTGTCTTGGCTTTGGTGCAAAGGTGAGTGAAGTCCACAATGTGCTGTGGACCAATCCAACCCTAGTGTCAGGACTTCCCAGGCCCAGCCCAGATTTAAGAGCCCCAGGCCCGTGTGAGTCAGTTTACACCGAAGTAGAGTCACTCTTCATCTTCTCGTCCATCCAAAGATCACAATGCATTGTCAACCCATTCAACTCTACAGTCACTATGTGCTTGGCCCATATTTAGAGGCCTACGACCCATGTGAGTCAGTTTATGCAGGGCTATATTTGAAAGAAGATATCTTTAGCAAAGAGGTCGAAGCCAATATACTTGGATGGTGTCGAGACACGGGCTATCTCAAAACCGAGCTGTGCCGGTTATATATTCAATTCGTTTCTCACTATCTATATTTTATAGATCTTGTGTCTAGTGTGTGCAAGAGTACATTTCAGCTGATAACTGAAGTTTTGAGGCCAACAATTAATCATGCAAGCTTTTGCTTAAATTACAATTCAGTTTGCTGTTTCATGTTGTTTCTTACATACTTTTTTAGTACATAAGCAAAGACCAAATTGTTTTTTAACAAACTGTGATAACTTTATCACTTAGTTGTGTCCCATATGCTTGGGATTTTCAGGAAAATGACTGGCATCTGCTGCCACCATTCTACGTTCCAAATTAGTTACCATGTACATCCAATTTTTGAAAAAGAAAAATTTCAATTGTCGTTGGGGCTCAAAATCCTTCCTTGCTCGGCGATACACTTCTTTCTGGGGTATCGAACTTTCTATTTTGAAAATGGTGTTTGTGGCGGCGCGGTGCAGCGGGGACGGGGCAATTTTTTGCCCTGTTTGTTGCCCCGTTTAATTTTTTTTTACATTTTCAAAGTTTCGAGTTATGTTATTATTAGAGAATAAAATGCAAATTCAAAACAGGTTTTTAACGGGTGAATTGTCTAGAAATAAAATTATTTTTGATTTTTTTCCTTTATGGGGCAGGTTCAGGGCGGGTGAGGATGTTAAGGGCGAGTTGCCTTGCCCCGCCCCGCGATGGGGCACCCCGTCTTGCCTTGCCAACCCATTCGAGAAGGTTTTTTCCTCATTCGGGGAGTGGCGGGACGGATTTTTTTGCCATCACTAGATGTTTAGAGAGAGAGAGAGAGAGAGAGAGAGAGAGTAATTGGAGTAAATTGTTGCATTTAGTTAAACTTGAAAAATGTAACTAATTTGCATAAACATAACTCATTTTATTGAAGAGATTATGGAGATTTTATCAAATATTTTTGCTTAGATAATCATTGGCAATTCAATTTCACCATGCTTAGGCCTAGGAAAAAAAATTGAAAAGCCAACTAAACCAATCATATCGAACTGACTCGGGTAATTGATTTGGTTTGGTTTTCTTTGTAAAACTATGATGCGTCAGTTCAATCATGGTTTGAAGTCGTAAATAGTTGGTTGATCGAACCAATTCAATCCACTTATATGTTTACCTTTTTTTTAAAAAAAAATCTAAGAAAAACAAAAATAAAAAGCTAAGCCCTGATATTATAACTATATTTCGATTCCCTCCAATATATGATATTGTCAATAAGTAATAATACTGTGTATTTTCTTTTATAAGCTTATTATGTTATACTTAGTATTTTTTTTCTCTACTTTGGCATTCAGATTACATAATACATAAAAAACAGCAAAATTTTGAAGTTTTATTTTGATTCGTCTCTATTAATCTTATTTCATTTTTTAGTCAATGGTTCTTGTAATATAAAATTATTTAATTATTTTAGTTCTTGGAATCTAAGTGGACCTAGAGCTTGAAATTTTTTTTTAAATTTTTTTAAAGAATGCAAGTTGGACTAAAAGTCCAAACCTACTAACCGAACAAAATCAAATCGATTTGGTTTGATTCGGTTCGATTTGACTCGGTTCGGTTTAAGAGTTAGAATGTGTTAGTTTGGGTTGAAATTCGCCCAAACCGACAAATTTGATTTTGATTTCGAGTTGGAATCAAAATCGACCAAAACTAAATCACACCCAGACCTAGCTATGTTAGAACCTGTATCATGTACATTCCTAAGTACACGATTTTAATCAAAAGTGAACAATATATGAACTTTTCTTTTATAAATATGTATAGTACCGTTTAATCCCTTTTTGAGTTTCATTTTAAAAACTCATTTTTCTTCAAATTTTTAATTAGGCATTCTCTTAATAAAATAATTATATCTGTAAACTCAAAATTTTTACTTACTTTTTAATCACACATTCTCAAAAAAATCACTATTAAAAAACTTGTTTTTTCCCCGAAGGAAGGCTCAAACAAGCGGAAAGTGCCGAAGTTTACTTTATGAAACAAACCATGATACTAATGTATAATTGGGTTGTAACTTTAACTTTCTCATCCATCTTGAAAGTGTTAACTTATTATATTCTCATCCATAAAAAGAAAAAGAAAAAAAATACATTTTAAAAAGATTTGGAATTTTAGTTGCAATTATTTTTCTTCTCTTTCTTTTCTTTTTGATTTAAAAAAAAAAAGAAGAAGATAAATTCACCACTTTACAAGGCTTTGATGTAAGAAGTGGACGAAATGAATGAGTTTCGCAACATTTGCTTGATTTAAAGGTAAATACGCCAAATTAAAATGATATGGAAAATTCACACAAAACAGGAAAATAATAAAGACGTTTTATGTCAATTAACCTTACATTTTTCACCCTCCCATAGATTGTTTTGAGATCTATAAATTCTTCGTAGGGCATTTTCGTGTTTTTACAATCCATGCACTATTTATAGAGTGTAGAGCCTTTATCATTTTGTTCTCTTTACCCATTTTGAGAAATTTTCGATACGCTTTTTCATATATTAATGCATTCCTTTTCTCTCTCTTTTTTGAAGTAAAAAGTGTCAATCTTCTGGCCCCGTTTTATGATGAAGATACGATGATTTCACTGCCCTTAAAATGCGACAAATATGCATCATAATCATATTATTTCATCATGTACTTACTTTCTTTTCATTCATAAACACGTGTGAATGCATGACAAGTACAAACTAGAGTGAACAAGGCTTCCCTCATTACGTCATTTTCATGTTCGAAAAAATATGAACATAAAATATCTTTCTTTGAAGCAAGGAGAGTCGTGACAAACTTCATGAATTGGAGATGGTACTGAGCTACTCTAGTAATTAGCTAGGTTAGTGTTAGTATTTTGGGACGGAGCATCGAGTCCCAATAACAATAATAATAGATGTAACAACTAACAAATTAATATCATCACTTATCTTCCTTGGTTCTATTTAAATAAATTGAAGGGCGATTTATATCGTTGTGACACCTTCTGCACAAAACTTAATTGAATTTTGTTCATTAAAGTGCAATTTTAGTTAAGCTAAAACTTTAGTGGTCAAAATTCCAATTTTGGTGGTTCAACTCTCTACTTCAACACTTCACTTCACCCTCGCTTGTTGATTCTTCTAATTCCATAATTTCTTTCATCAATGTACCGCAAGCTCGGGTTTAAAAAAAAAAAAACTCAAATCCAATACACTGACAAAGACTCATAAACACTATCAAATCTATCAAACATGTCAAGGGCGGACCTGGTCGGGGTCCTATAGGATCAATTGATCCCCTAGTGTTTTTTTTTTTTTTTTTAAATTTAATTAGAAGGACAAAGTTTAAAACATACACTATAAATGTATAATGCAATTGGCTGCTCCAAACTCAGTTTTGTGCCTATGTCTTTCTTTTTTAATTTGTCGACTACGAATTGTCATTACCATTTACGATTTACCCATCGTTTAAAAGTTTGATCGTAACCCTTAATCCAAAATATTTGAATCCTCCCCTGAAACACGTCATACACATATATGTATAATATATAGACTGCATGTAGAAAATAGATCAAACGTATTATAATCATTCCCTTGCTATTGAAGAATAAGCAAAATAGTAAAAGGCAAGATATGGAGTCAAACACAAGACGACCACCTATCTCTCTCCAAACCGTTGCCACAAGACAAATCAACCACCAACTCCCACCCTACTCATTCCCCATTTCTAAGCAACAAAACCCACAATCATTTCCACTCACATTACTCTCTCTCTCTCTCTCTCTTCTGCAACTTTCTTTTAAACTTCTTCAAACTGTCTTGTCTTCTTATATATCCCTCACTCTTTTACATCAAAAACAGTTAACGAAAGAGAACCCTCAAGGAAAAAACACTATAGAATGAGAAAACCAGACAGTTTTGGGAGGAGTGGCTGCACCGCCATTACTACGGCTTCGAAGCTCAGAAAAGGGTTGTGGTCGCCGGAGGAAGATGAGAAATTGATGAATTATATGGTGAGAAATGGGCAGGGGTGCTGGAGTGATGTTGCGAGGAATGCAGGGCTGCAGCGCTGCGGGAAGAGCTGCCGCCTACGGTGGATCAACTACTTGCGCCCGGATCTTAAGCGCGGTGCGTTTTCGTCCCAGGAAGAAGACCTTATTATTCATCTTCATTCACTTCTTGGCAATAGGTACTCTCTCTCTCTCTCTCGTTTTGATTTTCATTGTTTTGAAGTCGAGTTTTAGACAAATACATGTGTATCCTATCTAGAGCTCGAGCTCTTATACAAGGTAATAAGTGGTATTTACATACACATGAAAGACGTGAATTTATGTCTCGTTGCCATCCGTCTATGAAAAGTTGCCATATTTGGCCTTAAGAATCTGATTGAGGAAGTGAGATTTCACTTTGAAAATAATATTTAAATGCAAAAATACGTATATAATGCGACGGATAAAATCCCAAGTCGCTTAAATAAAAAATAATAACAATAAAAATAAATAAATAACGTGTTTGAGCTGCTACTACTAACAATGTTAAATCTTTTAAAACGAAATCCTGGTATTCAATATGATGGCAAAGTTTCAAGATTGTTCTTATCCAACCACCTGCTTCTGGGGAAGTGTGTTAATGTTAGGTCTCGCTTCGTGTTATTATATAAATAAAAAATAATAAACATAAAAGAGTTTGAACCATCACAACGTCTTAATGTAGAACTTTGAGACTCAATTATATATGATATGTGTGTGTTTGTGTAAATTGAGATGGTCATTTTTTGTTTTTAATTCTTGACTTGCATGTATGTTGTGTATTTATGCATGCGTATAATAATGTGGTTGAAATATGATTGATTGATTGATTGCTTCAATTTTGGGTGGGCATTTTCCAAGTTGTAATCCAAATCCATATGTGACAATCAACTTGTTAGTTAAAGTATTGAGTGAACATCCCAAATTTAATTACAAGTCGACCAAATAGCAAAATTAAGTGCATATTTTGGTCAACAAAGTCATCACATTTTTAGTATTTTTATTATACTGTATACCTAATATATGTAGAGATAAATGCAATCAATTCATTTATGTATATCGTATAGTCAAATACACGAACCATGTCATTATTCGACAATATACGTCTAACATGTGTAGAGATAAATGTGATTTATTCATTTATATTTGTATCTTCAAACACAAGATCTTACCCCTAATTCAGTTATTTTATATTACACGTAAATCTTACAGGAAAAAACAGAAAACTAAGAGATATTATATTTATGGGTTCTTGAAAACTAAGTTTTCATTCAATGCATGCAATAAAGTAATATACCTAGTACATATGCTATTGTATAATTAGTAATTAATTTACTGATTATTTTTTTCTGATTGAAATCAGGTGGTCTCAAATTGCGGCACGTTTGCCCGGACGTACTGATAATGAAATTAAAAATTTTTGGAATTCTACAATAAAGAAGAGGCTCAAGAATATTTCTTCATCATCATCAAGATCACCAAATACAAGTGATTCGTCAATGGAACAACCAAGAGATGGCATCAATGGAGGGCTCAGATCAAATCAAGAACCCAACATGATGGGGGTGTACATGCATCCATCATCTTCTTCTACATGGCAGTTGCCAAATTTCGCCTTGAATCCCATGAATCTTCATCATATTCTAGATCAGCAGCCGCCAGGCATTGTCGGGTCGCACTTTGACGTACAACCATGCAATACGCAAAGTGGGATGTTTGGTGGGAACATTGACTTCGAAGGGCAGTTTATGGTTCCACCATTAGAAAATATAAACACTGAACAGAGTGGCAAAATGGGAAATTTTGTTGAAAAGAATAATGCTAACGTCATCAATAATATGAATAGTATAACCAATTATAATCAATGCAATAATAATAAGGATAACATAAACAACAGATTGGTTGAAAATAATGTGAAAATTGAGGGTTTGTGTTGGGAAGGGGATGACCTTAGAATGGCTATGGGAGAATGGGATTTAGAGGAGTTGATGAAAGATGTTTCTTTGTTTCCTTTTCTTGACTCGATTAGACAGTATTGAACATTGCAACACGCGTATATTTCACAGTTTTCTCTTCTTTGGCACTATTGACTACAGATTACCAAATACGCTGTAGGATTTATATCTACGGTCGAGAACCTTTTACCGGATGCAACTTTCGACGAAAGAAACTTCAGAAATTAGTTAGGTGAGGTGAAAGGATGAGAAATAAAAGTGCCAAACATGGCTAATGTAATTCTCTGTATAGATGTATGCATACATAGATTTTCATGATGTTTGTAATTTGTCATTTTCAGTCATTCCAAAGTGTTTGTAATAACATCCATACATGTAAACATATATGTCACATAAAATATAGATTAGTTAGAGACTTTCATTAATAATAACATCAAATATGCTACACGTACATTATTTTTTTACATTAATTTTGACGGCGTTTCACATGATATCCGTCATAGCGTTTGATTTTTTCCAACACCCTTTTACATGATTGGCCAAATTGTGACATGTGAGAAGGAATGTCATCCTTAACAACAATGTACATCTTTAAAAATTCTAATAACATGGGACGCATATCCCAACGCTACCCAACCACTTCATTAAATAGATAAGTCGACGAAGAATGATTAAAGATGAAGAAATATCAAAGAGATTTCTCACGTCAAGGTTACTGATTTTAATCTTGTTGTCGAAACATCTTTTTTTTCAACCGCGAAAAAATTACGTTAGACCATCAAAGGGTTTGTTTGGGACCCATTTATGGTAAAAATTAAAATAGCTTTTCATGATTTTTTTGAGCATGTGTGGTTAAAATGTAAGAATTTTTTTTGAATTTATGTGTAAAATTATTATGCCTTTGTTTGTCAATGATTCTATCACATTCTACCATATTATTTTTTTTACAGCACTCATTTTCAATCACACATTTTTCATTAAAATAATATCACACATAAATCAAAAATATTTTCTTCTTTTTTAACCACACATTTCAACATCAATCACTATTTTATAATACAATTTTTAAAATTAAAGAAGCAAAAGCATGCCCTATATTGAAAAAAAATATGATTGAAAATGTTTTTTTTTTTTAAAAATAATAAGTTTTGTACGTACGAGGCTCAAATAGGGGCAAAATGTTGTCTCCTACCCTAGCCGACCCCACCCTGACCACCACTCCCTCAAAAATGAACCTTTTTCACTGATTTTCACGATTGTGATCATGCATTTCTTGAAACAGCATGCAAAGATGATTGTTTCTTCTAATGGGGTTTAATCTCTTAGGTGATATGTCCATTTGGAACAATAATCTTTAAAGAAAGAGTAGAAAGTCAGCTTGCTCTCATTGTAAATTTGGACTTTTTAATTTGATTGTTACTTAACTAGTCTCAATGGGAGAGTGGCATGATTACTTGATTTTTTTCACTTTTTGTTCCCATTTCCAAAGATAGCACAGGAATTATATATGCAAACTTTATGCACAGGAATTTTATATGTAAACTTTATTCTTTTATTTAACAATATAAAGTTTTAAACTATGTTTTTTTTTTATATATCCAGGTATCCCAGTTTACATTAGACTAAATCCTGGAACCCCAAGACCCTCGATATCAGAATGTGTACCTTTAAGTTTAACATTAAACCATGTTGAGTTTAATTATACTATTCACTTATCGCTTTTTACTTTCTCAACAACCATGGCATTATCCTCTAAATAAGTGGTTTGGTTCAATTAGATATTTAACTGCCCTCATGTTACAACCCCAAGATTGTGAAGAGCTGATATCAATGAACCAAACTTTTCCGTTAATGTGAACTTTTGGAGAAAATTAGCATGTTACCCTTAGTAAAATCTTTTCGTTGAGTGCAATTATAATAAAAACTTGCAACAATTAGTGAACGTAAATCCCGCACCGACAAAGATTTGTGTGTTTGTACGTGTACTTCTATTCATGCTTCTTCTATTCATTTTCGAGTTTCAAATATAGTTTATTCTATAATATTCAAGTTTCACCATAGTCCTTTATGAAAAAACTCGTGTAACTATACACTACTGAAAACATTCAACACAAAATAAGCCGTAAGTAAACACCCTAATGCATTGTTTGTTCAAGAAATTTAAAATTATCTCATTTCTCTTCCATAAGTCTACAACTTTTTCGACCGTTTATGCTTTTAAATAAAATATATATCACACGCGTGGTGCGAAAAGTTTATGAACAAAAGATAACCCAATACTAGAATTTCAAACAAGACAAAATAGATAAATAAAGCAAGTGGTTCCTTAAATCATTTCATCTCAAGATTTTTATCATGCTAATAACTAACATTTGACTTTCTTATGTGATTTTAATTATTATGAAAGTCTTTTTCTTTCACAGTAATATGACAATTAAATGAGTTATAATTGATTACGTAATTCTAGCACGTAAATGAAGTCATAAATATTAATTGTTTGAAATACCGCTAATTAACTCTCCTTATATTATATTTATAATGACTGTATTCTCACCTAATAAATCTTTTCAATGAACGATTCTTTGATTTTATAGAGGAAACTTTGAATTTATAGAAGCTAAAACATGGCAGGTTATGTAGAAGACATATACATTAACATAGTTAACAAGGGTTTTTTTCTCGAGTAATGCTATATAACACGCTTGTACAAAATATCATCACAGGCAAATATGTAATATTAAATGACAAGTCTAATTATTATAAGACCCATTTAATTCAAATACTGAATGCTGTCATAAAGGGTGGTGTTTAAACACTAGTGATATTATATGGTATCACTCTTTTTCTCTAAAATATCATCCTATATTGTTCCTACATAAAGTCGGTAGGGATAGAACGATAAACTCCAACTATAAAATATCAATTGTGTTATGAGTGAGTAAAGAAAATCAATAAGATTATCCAACCTATTGTGTCGAAGTGCATTATCGGACAAGTAATAAAATATGTGAGAAAAGCATCGCCTCGCTTTTATATTGATTGGGAAAATAAAGGGACTCGCTTTGTAAGGGTCACCCTATCCAACTTTCAAGCATTAAGATACATTTCAAGCATGAATATTAACTATAACGAAGTTCCAAAATGAATCTATATATCATAAAGAGATTCATTGTTGCATATTCCATTTCTCAATATTGTCACTTTGTGGGAATTATAAAACTTGATATGTATATTTTTTTTCATAGTGGGAAAAAATTTACTTTGATTATGTACTTTTATAATTAACTAGTCAAAGTTGAACATGTATTGCACGTTACTCTAAGATAGTTCATAAATAATGTAAAAAATAAAAGCTGATACCAATTTGTTGAAGGATTTGATGAGTCTCTTACGAATTAAAGAAAATAAAAGTTAGCATAAAATTTACGAGAATAAATTTGTACTCAAATTTTACTCTCAAAATTCAATTTCTATGATTCAAATTTTTTGTAATAATGAAATATTATAAATAAGCAATCCTTTATATTATATTTGATACATAAAAGTTAATTGTTAATACATAAATTTAAACATCCATTAAAATTTCTAGATATATGAATATGAATAAATTTATCTATAATAACTCTAGATTTATGTAATTCAAAACTCTAGATTAATGTGAAAATTAATTAATTGAGAACTAATAACACAAATTTCATAAATGACAATAATTTTATAGTATTTATTACATATCAAAAAATGAAAAATAAGGTATTATTGAAATAATTGAATTGTAGAGAGTTAAAATCCTCCAAAAATTAGTCTCCTTTGATACGAAATTTTAATATATTATAGATATGTGTTTAAATTAGTAGTATTATCTAAATCTTGCTACTATTTAAAAAAATTATTTTTCTTATTTTTTTATTTACTGATTCAACCGTCTCAATCATTTGGCCCTTGACTATTTCAATTTCGAAGATCAATGCCCAATTCATTTTTATAACTTTGGATAAAACATGTCGTTAACAATGTTTGAGTAGAAAATTTATTTAACACCTCCAGAAATTTGTTAAAACAATACTATTGAAAACAAAATGTTTTCATTTCTATTTAGAGAATGCAATTTTACATGTAGTAATACTCGTCTGACATCACGCAGATATCAAGATCTCCCTGTTATAGTTGGCTAATGGTCATGAGTTTAATATTTTCATCTAAACATTTTTTCAATGTAATGTATGATGTATCTATATTTGCTCCAATGCAGTGCACGAAGATATGCCTCAAATAATGTTGAGAATACATGTCTGGCTTAAACCATTTTTGCTATAAAATATCTTAACCACTACTGGGCGATATTTTACAATGCGGTTTGTCAACTATCATTTTGATAAGACGGATTTCTTAGCGTTAGGGGAAAGATTTAAGCAATTGGAAATAATAAACATAATGCATCATTATATTATCTAAATCCTCGCACAAGATAATTTGAACGAAAAGTTCAAAAAATAATTCATTTAGATTTATTTACTACTAAATAGATTAACCAAATATCATATATTAGTTATTGATGCTCCTGTTGGAATTTGGTTTAAATTTGGTCAAGTAAAACTAAGAAATGTTGATTTTGTACCAAATTCAACCAAGTATTCAGACATGTTCTGATGGTCAAATCACGAAAATGAATAGACTAATTTATTCTACTCATCGAATAGATGGTCATAGTATATTTGAAATCTTAAAACCAATTCAAATGAATGAGAAATTATTGTCAAAAATTAGAAGGAGAAAATGGGATTTTGCCCGTATAACATTGCCGATCTAGCTCAACGAGCAGAAGTGCTCTTGCTATGGGCTCTCGAGTGGTATGCTGAGTAGATAGCGAGTGGCCTGAAAGATTGCGTCCCTACATGAAACATGCTGGGTTTTGGGAGTGTCTCTCCGATCACAACCCATCGCCTTCTATAAATAGGACATTCATGATGCACTAAAATCATTACATATCAATTGAATAACATACTCTGCCTCAAAACATTCCAAAAATTGTTGTCTTCTTGCATCAAAAATCATTTTTTGGTAGAGAGAAAATTTTGTTCGAATTCACCATTACCTTGAAGTTTGAAATGCTTCTACTATAAAGAGAATCCATTATATATTGGGAGGCAATTGCCAATCCTTCATTGACAAATTCGTCTTAAAGACGATGTTGAATGTTTATCTCAGAGTTTTGATTCAATTCATTCTTGAAGTACATACTTCGGGTTAAAATCCCAAATGGTCACTGAACTTTGCCCGAAGTCCCCTAGGAGGTCACCGAACTTCAAATCGTCCCTAAGTAGTCGCTGAACTTAGCTCGAACTCCCCCAAGAGGTCACCGAATTTCAAAACGTCCCTAAATGGTCATTGAACTTTACAAAAAGTTCCTAGGAGGTCACTGAAGTTTGCAAATTGGGACCCCATTCATCTTTGCAAAGCTCAATAATCTGCAAATATTTCATTCATCATCTTATTACTTGTTTACCATACCACATACTTGCGAAATTTCGCACCTTCACTATACATAACTTTTTTGACTTCGTGTCCATAAATAAACATTTATTCCAAACAGAGAATG